TCACCCATCTGACAGGCTTGAATCATTTCTGCTCCTTTCTCTCTTGTCCAAACAAAAGGTTGCATATTTCATTATTTCCCTCTTAGTTTGAGAATAGTGTTTTCAGAAAGCCAGATGGACTGATTGGTTTTCACAAGTTACCTAGTGTGCTCTTTCTTCGTAGATCACCACGTAAGCAGTGTCAAATTGGCTCACAGTCACTTGTGTGTAATCCCCAGACTTAGAACTTCGATTCTGCTGTTCTTTTTAACACAGGCCCCAGGGAAAACTGGCTCATCCCAACACAGATGCTTCTGATAAAATACACCAGTACGCCAATTTAATTGTTAAAATGTGAAGAGAAAATGACTAGTACCAAAAAATTATAAAACATCTACATAAACTACGTTTTAAAGAAAAACTTCCCCTTAAATTTGCATGTCATAAGGGAGTTGGAATACATTATTATTCCTTTTTTTTTCATTTTCCAGAGCAGAAAATCGAGGCTCTGATTAGTTAACAATTACCTACAGTCTCTTAACGGAAACATAAAGAGTTGTGATACAGAGTTCAGCATAGTTAGAACACAGAACACGGAAACTTTAATGTCTATGTGGCTCAGTGAAGTCATGCATGCTACAGTTAAGGAAACTCAGTAATAACAACCCACAATGCCAGGATAGACAGCTGATTATATAAGAGTTTAGAACAATTTAAATTGATAGTGATCGTGGTATCCATTCTTTTTTATTTTAATTGTTGTGTATCTTTAAGATATATAACAGATTAGGAACATGTACTTAGAGTATTTGCTATAATGAAATGAATTAGCAAATACAGCATTTTTTGTATGATAAGAAAACCATGACATCATTTGTATTAAAATTAAGATTTTTGGAAACACATGTATTTTCTTATGGCAAGAACAATTATTAAGCAAAGTCCTGGAATTTAGTGCTTGATTCACGTGGCCTTCTTGTTGTACATTAGCTCTTTGAATTTGCTGCTTTGGATTCTTAGTCTTGCATTTCCCCAATCCCTCTCTGTCTCCTGACACTGGTGCAGAGAATAGTATTTTCAAAAGATTAGCTTTCTAATGTACTAGAGGAGAAAGGTAACTGAGGTGTTGACATAAATGGCTAAGAGTATGTGCCAAGGATCTACCCCACATTATCTGCATGCAAAGAGCAGTTCAAACTGTCTTGGAATTTACTTGTCAGCCAGAGAATGAGACCTCACAATATCAATTGAACTTAGTTCTACACTTTAAAAATGAACTGTACCAACAATGGTTCATATATTTCTTGTTTGTAGCTTACAAGGTAGGTTTTTTTTTTTCTGTCCAAGTGTTTTGTCAGTTTTTGTCTTTTGGCAGCAATTGAAACACAGATAAAATAATATTCATCTGTTAGTGTAAATATTCATTTTTTCATTATTAAGTTCAATGTCATCTATGTTGATGTTCAATTTATAATCTAAACATGGAAGATAAGGTATTAGTTACTTCTGTATGATTGTCAACAAGTAACTAACATTATAGCTCCCTAGAGTGAAGACTGATTTGGACTCAAACTTCAGAGAAAGTTCAGTCCATCATCACGGAGTAGAAGGCAGAAGCATTCAGAACACAGTTGGTGCTGGTCACATCATGGGCGGGGCCTAGAAGCAGAACACGGATGGAAACTAGGGGTGGATATAACCTTTAAAGTCTATCTCTACTGACTTACTTCTACCAGGGAAACCCATGTAAAGATTATAGAGCCATTTCCAATCACAGAAAGCATGTACTTTCTATTTGGGTCAATTTTGTACTCATAGAAAGAATGAACATACTAGACACCATCTACCATCATAATCATTTGGATTGCTCCTGAGCAAAAATCATTTACAGCTTGTATATATTTTGTCTAATAATTTAGCATCAGTTTCATGCTACCCAATAAAAAGTATAAAAATGTATTGTTCAGATGCTCAGATAATCTGTATAAACTCAAATAATAGCAATAAGAATAATTACTGATAGACAAGCATTCTATTATATCATTGGAAGGACAAGGAGTTTGCCTTATTTTCAATTTTGGGATAAGTCTGGGGGAAAAGGCACTTAGGCTAATACTAGCTGTCAAAGTTAATGTACATTATTTCATGTACTTAGCAAAATAAATGTCACCGAGCATTAGCTCTTTTCTGAAACATTTTTTCTTGGGAAAACTTCTGATAATAAATTGGCTTCAATGTTCAATATTTTGCAGGTTATTGTGGTACAAAGTCAAGCTCATTCATAAAATTACACATCCATTTATACTACTCATATAGATTATGATTGGAATTTTAAATAGCAAACAAATTTACAAAATCAAAGTAAAAGTCACCTTTACTATTATCTACAGAATATCTTCTCCATGAATCAGATATTATAAAGCATAGTTTTGTTATTGTCTTTTAGCATCAGGGTTAGAGTTGTTGCTTCCTAATTTTTTTTTTTTATTTAAGTACTAGGGCCCATGTTTTGAATTTCTTTTAGCTTTTAATAACTAAGGGATGGTACCATTTTGCCCTTTTCCTCAGCTTTATTGACATATAATTGACAAATAAAAACACATTTGTTTAATGTATGCAAACCTCTCTGTGTTTAACTCTCACACATGAAAGAGCTTGTCATGAATAGTATTCATAGACTATTTTATGTGATAAATAATAATATGTTAAAGGCAACTCATTTGTGATTACTTGAAAGTAGCATAAAGGTTAGGCTAGTAAAGGTGTAATGCTGTTTCCTCTTCCACCATGAAAAGTCGTTATTAAAACTATAGTGTGCATACATAAGTCTACAGATATTGATAGCACAAGTAGGGGACCAGAATTAAAGAATCTACGGAGACAATAGAAAATGCAAAACTCACTGCAAATTGACAAAATTATTACTGAAAAGTTGCTGCACCCCAATAAGCCTCTCTTCTGAGGCAATAGTACAAATCAGACCAAATCAATCTGAATTAGACAAAGCCCAGGTTTAATAGATACAAATGTTCCCGGATAATCTTACCAAGCCCCCCAGAGAGGAGACAGGAAAGGAAGAGCAAATACCAAGTGATTTTTTTTTCTCTGGGGTGCAGTTTAAATGCGCTGTGGGAGTGGGGTTGAGCATCTCTGGGAAGGGGGTCATCATTTGGTGGACTTTCTTCCTGGCTGAGTCTGAACTGAGACAACTCCCAAGGGTGGGGGCTTGGGATTGAACTTCCACAAGAACAATTACATAAATATATTAACATCTAAGCTATAGAAACTCAGTTTTGAATGACTTAGAGAAACTATATAAACTTTCCTAATGACTTAAATCACTTTATGTGTTAACAAATGAAGGAAACAGAAGAATACTCCAGATTATGTGACTTTTATTACAAAGAAAGTGCATATATATGTGTGTGTGTGTTTGTGCAGTGAAGAGTACACATGTATTTGTATGCAGAGAGAAATAAAACATACAATTGGCACCTTTATTATTGTAAAAGTTTTTTCTAGCATTTAAAGATGATTATATATTCTAAAACAGTTCTTCCGGGGATGTACAATGTGATCAAATTATAATACCGTGTAGTATAATTTTTAAATTTATAATGGTTCGGGGGCATATGCATAATTTATATAAGTTTACGAAGAAAAATAGAATTTTAATCAACATAAAACATAAACATAGTATATTGATGAAGTTATGACTACGTGATGAAAAATGGTTCCTCTGAGCATTAGGAAATCCAGAACACTGTTTAAAAGAAAAAAAAATGACCCCTTGAAAATCATGTCTCCCCTGCTGTTCCTGGCAACCAGGCCAGACATTCAGAGAAATCTGGGCTGTGTGTTTTGCTGGGATACAAGGCGGCCCCAGCCTGAAAAGGGAAGTGGTGAAGTTCCTTGCTTTCTGCTCCCTCCCTCATCACCCCCCTCTCTCTCACCCCCACCCCAACCATCACCCAAACCTGTGATTAGGTGCTGGGTTGTGCTTGGGTGAGTGATTGTTGGTGGAGAGTTGAAACTGAATACCCAGAAGGCCCCTGGGTAAATCCTCCAGCACCCCAGTTCCCCCAAACACACACACACACACACACACACACACACACACACACACACATAGACACACACACACACACACACACAGACACACACACTTTTCCTCCTGTTGATCCTGAGCCGCTGCCCACTCTCTCTTAGCCCCCAGGCAGGTCAAGGGTTCGAGTTTTTCCACATACACACACAGTTTGGTCATAATCTCCCTAATTTCTTTCTAGCTTTTTAGTTCCAGAACCCCCCTCAACTGTTGTATAGTTAAAGGCGGTGGCAAACAGCTCACTTTTCCTATGACACTCCCAAGGTCCCGCGGGCACAGTAAGTGATCACACAGGCTGATGGATGTCAGCATTCCTAGGGGTCAGCCAGAGACCCAGGAGGAATCATAGGCAAGGCAGGTATTGCTAGTTTTGCAGTCCTTGTAGAAGATTCGTTTGAGAGTGCACAGGGGAAGTCGAGTTGAGAGAGACGTTCTTAAAATGGAGAACCAGGGAACTTGATTTCCTGGTAGCTGCATTCCTCAACTGGCTTTTAACCTTACGCGCATTCAGGGCAGGGGAGGGTTTTTATTTTGCGTGTAGGGAGTCCGTAGGGAAAGCATTCTTGGCCCTCATTCCTGTTTGCCAGGATCAGATTACTTTTTACAGACTGGAGCTGGCTGGCAGGAGGCGGCTGCGGGTGGGTGGGAAGGGTTGGGGAAGGGTGGGGGTTAGTTTAAAATCTTTTATGTGTGTACACCTTGTGTGGTTGGGTGTGGAAAGCAGGAAAAGGGGGGTTTCCAAGTCGAGTGAAATTCCCATCCTATGGCTATTACCACGCCTGTAGGGTTGGCAGGTTTTAGAGGTTAGGTAGTCGGCAAAAAAAAAAAAAAAAAAAAAAGCGCTCCAAAACACAATAGAGTTAACCCTTCTCCCCTCCCTGCCTCTTTCTTCTACTCTCCCTCTTCCCCTCTCTCTCTCCACCTCTCTCATTCTTCTCTCTCTGGTTTTTCTGCTTCCAAACAAACACCTTCTTCCAGGCTGAAGTTGGGCTGGTCTCCCTAGGAGCAGCAGCCACAACAATCCCGCAGTTCAAAGTTAGGCAGCAATTACACAACTTCCAGCAACTCTCTCAGCCGGCTGCTAATGAGCTGAAAGCCAGGAACATCTGAGGAGGTGAAAAGGAAGAGTCCAGCCCTCCTCCTTTCACCGGAGGGATCCAGGCACCCCTCCCCAGACCCAGATCACTTTTCTTAAGGACTGTGTTTTCTTTGCTTGCCTTGCCGGACAGACCATGGCTCCCTTTGGAAGAAACTTATTGAAGACGCGACATAAGAACAGGTAAAAAGTTTGTGTGTGTGTGTGTGTGTGTGTGTGTGTGTGTGTGTTGGGACTCAGTTTCCTAAGTGTGAAAATATGTTTCTTTGCACTTCGATTCAGATGAAAACTGTTTTGAAAGCACAAAGCCCGGAGGAGTCAGGTCTAGAATGAAGAGCCAGCTCTTCAGAATCTATGTTCTGTATTGATGGCAATGATACAAGGATCATGGGAAATCATGACCGATTTTAACTCTCTTTTCCCTTTATCGCAGTCTGAGTTCACTACAGACACCAACATTTTCTCTTTAATTTATCCTGACCTTTGCGGGAGAGAAGAATAACAAGATATATAATTTGTTTAAACACGGGTTTAGAATATTCACTGCTTGAAAAAGCTTCAGACTTTGATAAGATGTAAGTAGAATTTCTCGCCACTTGTTAGGGGTAAAAAGTAAGATGCTGATATCGTCTGGAAACAATGCTTTGGTTTTCCTGAGAGTGGGGCATACCGAAGGTCTGGAAAGTTCCCAAGTGAAACCATTCCCATGAGGAGATTTTTATGAACTTTAGGTGACTTAGGCATTCAAAGAGGAGTCAAACAGCTGAGTGCCTCAGATCTTTATGATTTACCACTTTACACTTTACCTTGACTTCATACCTCAAGTCAGCATTAACTCTGGTTTAAATACATATATTTACACCGAAGATGATGAGAGGGGATAGGGAGAGCAAGGGATTGAATTTGAGATAATGGGATAATATCCATATTTATATTTTAGTACTATAAACTATTTTATTTATGTCTCATATATTACATTTAATGCAAACAGCAGAAGGATAATTTTTGAAGGCTTTATATATCTTAATTTATTTCTTTTGGCGTAGGGGCTTTCCAAACACTCTCCTCTCCATTATGCCTGTTTGCGCTTGTCATAATTTGCTTAGCGTAAATTTTAAACGGATACAATTACAAGGTAGGAAATGATATAATTATTTTAAAGCGTCTGCGTGAAAACATAGTGATACAACTTTAAAGTAATTCTTCATACTTTATTTCAAACGTAAATATCTACTTCGTCTATTCTGTTTTTAACCCTCTCTAAATATTTCAATGACTTAGTTGACTAAATTTCTTGGAGAAACAAAAAAAAAAGCCATCTTAGGTACTCTAAAGCTTTCTAAAGGACTTTATTTGCTAATAGCTCAATACTTTATGCTAAATGTGGTACTTGTGAATTAAGTATGCTTTATAAAATGTTAAGGGAAGACAATAACAGTGTATTTTAAAAGCTAGCGATGCATGTTAAACTAGATTTGTGGTATTAAAAGTGGCAAGGTATATGAAAATACCCCCAGAAAACCCACCCAAGCTGTCCACCCCCAATTCTGTTGTTTCAAAGCGAATTTTTCTAGTGCCACTAACTGTAGCGATTTTGCATTTCTTAGATCACTATGAGATTGTTTGAAAAGTATTCTGGAAAGGCTTAGCGTTTTGGCAAACAAGTTGTGCTTCTGGCAATCAAGTCTTCTCTTCAGAATTGTTGTGTGTGGTGAAGTTTTTCTTAAACCAATTCAAGAACGCCATCACTGCACTGGCATGCTATCTAACAGTGCCCTGAGCCCTTGAGAGCTCCCCTGCGGTCGCTTATCAACGTGCATAGTCCATTTTCACCTTGTGGCTTTTGTGACTGCACCTTCTGCTCTGCCCATAAAACTAGCAGCCATTCAAGGGACCTACAGGAACAACTTTAGCATGATATTTTAAGTGCAAAATTGTGATCAAGAGGTACGAATGACAGACAAAACTGGAAGTTTACCAGCATTTCATGTTTCTCTGAGAGAGCAGGTGTTGCTAAGGGTCATGGTTATTAGGACCTCCATTTGAGGGCATGAGCAGAGGCGGTAACAGGGAGGATGTGCTTAAGCTATTCGGGTAGGACTGGGTTGCTTCCTTTTGCAGATTTTTGCTTTTTTTTTTTTTTTTTTTTTTTGTTTGTTTTGGGGGGGGTGGGAGGGGGAGGGAGAGAGAGAGAGAGAGAGAGAGAGAGAGAGAACATAGCTAAGGACAATAACATAAAAGTATGAGTATATATGAGTGTTCGAAACTGAGAACTCAATAAGTCACATTGGGCATTGAAACAGAATAATGGGGCAATTTATATGAGGTCTTGTTAATGGAGTTCATCCGTAGAGCACCTCAAGATGAAACAACAGATGAAAAAGAGTTTTAGGGTTCAGTTCATCTGTTTCATTGACCAGGATCTATGTGGTTTAGACAACCCCACTTCATCAGCAAAACAAGAAGTCTTTTCACTAAGTGATGAGTCAGTCAGCTGCTTAGTAGAGATGTGATTGGTAATACTTGTCTTATAAGAACTAACTGATTCGTTGAAATATATTCTATGAGATACACATTTGTGGGTACAGGAATATGTGTATAAACAATTTATCAAGCAGAAGGATGAATTTGAGTAGCACATTTGTGTGTCATATGACCTCTAACTATTCTTGAAGTTTGCAATTACAGAATTTTGACCAAGTTCACATATTAATCTTAAGTTTTGCATAACTTGTCGCTTTTTCTTCACTGTTGGGGTGGTGTTAAATCAACCAAGACTGTCTGATATGAGCCAGGCCTGGAGCAGCTCGGAATAAATATATATCTGAGAGTTTCAAACATAAACATCATGTAAACGGAGCTGCATAGGACAAGGCATAATAACATTTAGCTAACGAGCTGTGGAGTGAGGAGGGTGGAGTCATATCTGTCTAGACACCATTATGTGTCCAGGCCTGGGAGAGTGCCTGGCATATTGTAGACCTGTAATACAGTTGTTTGTTTAGTTTTCTGTACTAAGTTATAATTTCTCCGCAACCCAGAAAGACTGTCATTACATTATTCCTTCTTCGTCATGTGATGCAAGCCAGAGTTGCTCAAAACTCAATACTCAAGAGAAACCAATTGACATTGAATACGATCAAAACCACGACGAGATAGCCAAGTTATTTTATAGATTCAGACCCAAAGCTATTCCTCTTCTACCAGATAACTCATCACAAGTGGAATGAAAGCTTTCATTAAAATGCTTGGCAAGTTTTGTTTAGAAAATTCAAAAATACTAACGAACATTTCAGGTTTTTAACTCTAACCTTTCATGTAAATGGAAGAGAGCCAGTCTAAAAGTTTTAATGATTATAATTAGCATTAATCTGCTCAAATGTTCTAATTGTATATTTAATTAGAAGAGTACCGTTTTCAAAGGACCTCGTGTTCTCGGGGAATGAATTGTTTATTGTGGCTCCAAAATAATAAGATAGACTGTGACTGAAACTGACAAGATCCTGGATATTGTTGCACATTTTGCTAATAAGACTTTTGTTCAATGTAACTAACAATGAAAGAAAAATCGAGATTGCTTTTTTTCTTTCTTTCCTTCTTTTTTCCTTTCTTTTCTCTCTCTCTCTCTCTCTTTCTCTCTCTTTTTTTTACCCAACAAACCATTCAGCTTTTTAAGGTGTATGCTAATGGTTACTAGGCAACCATTTTTTTTTCTCACATAAAAGGTAAGGAGTAAATCACAAAACACGGATCCATTTGCTATTCTTATAAACTTTCAGTGATTAAACTTAGGTTTTTAAATATATATTTAGCTATTTATAAAGACTACATTTGTGACTGTGATAGCCTTTGTATTGGTTTACACCCTCAACTCAGTATTTTTTCATAAATTAATATAATTAACTATTAATTTAGAACATTCATAAAAGTTTGAAGAACTACTGACATTGCAAGGTTAAATTGGGATGTTTAATTAGGAAATATAACTCTTTTGTTTTGCTTAAAACAGCCTCACTGTGCTTCAAAGCCACACTGGCCTTCAGCTTATGACCCTCCTGCCTCTGCTTCCTGAGAGTTGAAGTAATAAGCATATGCCATCCAAACTTGTACAAGACATGATTTCTTTATGTATTAATTAATAACATTCAGGGAAATGGTATTGGTTGCAACTTTCACCAATTTTTACCTTCGTTGAGGGTGTCGGTCTGTTATGGGCTATACAGACAACTTTTTTTTTTCTTTTTCTTTTCTTTTCTTTTCTTTTCTTTCTGTTTTTTTTTTTTTTTTTGTGGATCCTAAATAAAAGGGTTCCAGAAAATGTACCTGTAATGAATATATTTGAAACAGTACAGCTCCCCTCACATTTAAGTCATTTTTAAAGCATTGACATTCATGTTAGTGTTGTGTGGTTACAATTTACCTGGCTGTATTTTATTTTATTTTTTAACAAGCACACGTATCATAAATAAACCTTGTTAACTATTTCATCAAAAAGAAGAATTTGGTATTATGGTTAGAGTCAAAGATTTTGGCAAGAAGACTGTCTCCTTTCTGTGATTAGAAAATATCAGGTACTATTTTCTGTAACTTCAAGTGGAGATTCAAACTGGTCACAAACTTGGTTTGAGAATTGCCAGATTTTTTTTGAATTTGTAAATGCTTGCCATCCTCTGAGTTTCTGAAAAGACTTCTCTTGATTATACCTGGGTCCTTAAGTTGTTGTCAGTTGGCAGCAAACAACCCATTAGGAACAATGACTGGAATGCTTTATCCCTGGCAAAAAATTGGCAGAGGTGAAACTGAGCTCCAGGTTAAAACTTGCATTGATTGGGGGAGGGGGTAAAAGTCAACTTAGCCAGCCTAGCATTTATGGTGTAATATGTTGCAGTAGGCATCATACCAACAAGTGGCACACGCCAGTGAGAGCAGCTCTTGAACAAAAACTGTTTTGAAGCAAGTTAAGCAATTTCTAACTGAATAACAATTTAATTTAGAAAATGTCTTGATCAGTTTGACTGGTTAACAGAGCATTTTAAGTGTATTGGATGTACAGTTCTAGAGGAGCTGACAACAGCTCTGAGCATTCACAGAAGTTAACTCTATTATATAATATTATATATATATATATATATATATTTATACATTGAAAAACATATTGACATATGGGTTATAAGTTTACTTCT